GCTCTGTCCTCGCTCCCGGCTCCGGGGGCCGCGCTGCCCCTCTCCCCTCCCTCCCCGGGCGACGGCCGCTCTCCGGGCTAGAGCCAGCACGGAGGCGTCGGCGCTGCCCCGGCTCGCGGGGCCCTGGGTGCTCCCGTCCAAAGGGAGCGTGCCTGGATTTTGCTTGGTTGTCATCGTGGATATTTTTAGCAAAAGTTGGAGCCTTTTGTATATTTAGCTCCTGATTTATGTGCTCTTTATACTGTCTATTTTTGCACTTAGTCAAATAGTAAAAGACAGTTGTATTTGGTTTTATATCCAATTTCTGGTTCTTTGGCAGCGTATTTCCTTAGTTTATGTTACTTAAAAGAATTAAACGATTTTATGTGCATTTTTACAACTGAAGACTTGTTTCACTTTCAGCAAACCCTGCCCAAGTTATGTAATTGATTGAGCTGTCATCAACTGCTGTACTGTCATTTACAGTTTTACTGTAAATAGGTCTAAGTTGAATAATAACATTCATACATTTATGTTTTCTGAAGAGTTTCACATTCCCACTTAGGAAAGTAAACTAGGGTCTTGCTAACACTTTTCACATGCTTCACATCAAGTCAGCAATATTATTCTCTTGGAATTTGCTGAGGATCGGAAAAAACAAACAAACAAACAAACCATTAGGTATTTCAGTGGCAGAACACATTATTAAAGGAAATGAGTAAATGCAGCTGGTAGAATGGTTCAGAAGATCTAAAGACTGAAAAGCTCAGCCAGAGCTAGTCCAGTCTGAGTACTCAATATTGAGACAAAAGGGAGTTTGAATTTTGTGTATTCCTGTTCAGTTTTGTCTAGGTATGAAAACCAGATCACTATTTTATCAGACTACTTAGAAGAGTTTCCAGAAACCGATGAGCCAGTTTGGATCCTGGGAAGGCAACACCACCTAAAAGCAGGTATCCTTTAAAAGGAAAACTCCTCAGTAAAATCCACAGAGCATTCATAAATTCACATGCAACAGCAGCTCCTTGTATCTTCGGTTCACTGAATGTGTCATTAAAGGAATCTGTTTTTCTCTGTAAACAAGAAACACAATATAAACAGTGATATTAATTCTAATAGGAAACCAGAAGTTTCCCAAAAGACTTTCTGTAGCGGTTTGTGCAAAGAGATTGCTCTTGTGACAAAGGCTGGTCATGAGACAGCTTATTTCTAGTGATCAGTTGCTGCAGAAAAAAATGAATAAGTCTCGTAGAAAATTCAGTTTTATTAGTGTTACCTTCCCCTGAGGAGCGCTGACTATGGCCTGTCCCTTCCCTTGAGGACATCGTCTTGTACCCATGTCAAAGACAGTGGCTGTCAGCCAGGTGGGGTATTGAAGATAGGCCCAGTTGGCTGAAGGTTCTTTAGAAGGTCAGTCAGTCTGATCCACACTTAAGAGAAGATGCAGTCAATTAGATCCTTAAGAATTCTTGAGAGCCTTTGAGAGAATTCTGACAGTTTATATTTTTAAAAAGAGATAATTAGATTTATTATTAACATTTTCTAAAAATGCTATAATACTGGGTTCAGAGGTAATGTGTAATTTCACATTTCTTTGCATGTAGAAATTATTTAGCTTTCTTAACTTGCTATACTGATTCTTTCCAGAGGACATAATTCTTCATAGTTGTTTCATTCAATCTCAGCGTAGGTAATTCCAAACGTTTTTAAAAGCCTTCACTGGTTAATAGTTATTGCTTCCTTAGTAATTTCACTTTAATTAGCTTTCTAAAAGTTTTTTCAGTATTAAAATGGCTAGAAGAAAGTTAATATATAGAAGAAATTAGATTCTTTTTCAGTCTTAGAAAGTTTTTAATAGTTTCTTTCCTTTTTAAAATGTTGCAGACAAATCTAAGTTATTGTTGGATGTAAGTGCTCGTCTCTGGTTTACGTATAGAAGAAAATTTTCACCTATTGGTGAGTATACTGCAGAACTGCTGCCTTGTTAAAACTGCATTGCAGGATTCATGCACTGAAAAAAATGATTTTTACAATGCTAAAACGTTTTGAGTATTCATATTTAAACCCCATTTATGGTATCTGTAGATAATCAGGTCTTTATGTAGCAAGCAGTAAACAGTTACTTTAAGAATGAAAACCAAGTAATCTGTACAAGGAATAAATTAAATAGGATTACTTGTGCAATTTAGAAATTAGAAGTTAGACCAACAATGAGGGTCTTGCGCAGGGCCTTTTATCCATAGGACAGTTCTCGGAGGTTGCCAGCTGGCTAGCTGGATTCTAGCGCTCCAAAACTTTCTGTGGGATGCTACGTTCAATTTAAAGACCATACACACAAAATTACAGTCTAATCTCTTCAACCTTCCGATCTGACCCCTTTTCCTGTTTCAAGCATAGCTCACTAGAAAAGATCAAGCATACAAGCAACTTGTGTTTGTCAACTCGGGGAACTACCAGTGTCAATTTAAGATGATTTCTGTTCCTGAGCAAGTCATATCAAGTAACACTGGTGTTGTCTAAACTGAGAGCTGCAATGGTGTGGATGTTATTTTCATGTTGGACTTGCAGGAATTTTAGGACATAAATTATTTGAGGGTGACAGAGCACTGGAACAGGCTGCCCAGAGAGGTTGTGGAGTCTCCTTCTCTGGAGATCTTCCAAACCCGCTTGGACGCAGTCCTGTGCCACGTGCTCTAGGTGACCCTGCGTGTGCAGAGGGGTTGGACTAGATGATCTGTAGAGGTCCCTTCCAACCTTAAGCATTCTATGATTCTATGATATGGTGATGAACTTTTCTTATCAGGGGGCACTGGTCCTTCATCTGATGCAGGCTGGGGATGTATGCTGCGGTGTGGACAAATGATGCTGGCACAAGCACTGATCTGCAGACATTTAGGAAGAGGTGAGTGCTGTTACCGAATGAACTTTTGAATAGACAAGACATGAATTCTAGGAATAATAAATAATTTCCTAGAATAAATTGTATATGAATCTTTTGATATCTCACTATATGGTTTTCTACTGCTCTCCAGCAATTTTGATGAAAGTGGTGGAAGCATTATATTTTTTAATCCACTTTAATTTTTTCCCGTAAGATTGGCAGTGGGAGAAACACAAAAAACAACCAGAAGAATATCACAGAATCTTACGATGCTTTCTAGATAGAAAGGATTGCTGTTATTCTATTCACCAGATGGGTAAGAATACGTATGACCTTTTTGTTTTGCCATAGAAATTTCTAATGTTGAAACTTACTAGTTTTATAATACATTAATTCATAATATTAGAATTGTGATATTAAGTATATAGAAGTTTATATAGAAGTGAAAATGCATGCCAATGAGTAGAAAGTAAAATAAAACGTATGTTTTATTCTCTGAGATATAAAGCCATATACTAGCTCTTGATAAAGTATATAAATCATGGATACCAAACTCTAATGCTAAAATAGACATTCTTGTATGTTACAGCTGCATTTTGTAATACAGATGACTAATATTTGTGATTTTTATCCAGTTTGTAAACTGTTCGTTTGTTAGAGGAACTAGCAGTCATGAAGTCTTGAAAAGAGAATAGATTGAGAAAGTAATTATTGCTAAATAGAGTTTGCAATTGCTGTATGACAACACTCTTTAATATACATTGTTACCAGACTCTTTGTGGTCTTTTTTTCTGTGTGTGTGCCTGTATGTGTGCTTTTGCCCTTGTACAAACAGCACAGATGGGTGTTGGAGAGGGGAAATCAATTGGAGAATGGTTTGGACCAAATACAGTTGCTCAAGTGCTAAAGTAAGTCAAATCTTACTGGCTTTCTCAGAACATACTTGCCCTGCACCGCATAGCTGGGGTGAGGCTGGGTATCATTAAGGGGCTGCACTTGTCTCAGAGTGGGAACGTGAACGTGTAGCGTGCGGTTACCCAGGGCGTGAGGACTGCAGCACCGTAGCACAGTGGGTGAGTGCTACACCTCACATTAGAGTGCTGGTGTGAAACATGAGAATGAAGCCAGAGAGGCCAAGGAGGGAAATTGCATTTCTCACTTTCTGAATAGCTCTTCTGCCTAACAAGGCAGCTGTATAGAAGACGGGGGCTACATTTAAGAGAATAGGGTTGCCTTTGTGCATTTCTCTGAAGGATGATTTAGAGGTGTCTAACCTCAGCTCCAGGTCCCAAGTGGTCAGCAGTGTGTTTGCAACTTGGGGTCAGGTGCAGATTTTAGACAGTGGAGCTAAAACATGCCCTGGCCTCCTGCTCTGTTTGCTGAGACGTTCTTCATGGCTTCATATACGTTTTTTTCTGGCTTATTTTAGACACTTAACTCTGCCTGTGCAGCTTAGGCAGCATAGCTGCCTTCCGCAGAGTTCTGGATTTCACATACGTGGACAGGCATGTCGGTGCTATAATATCTCTCGTCTAATTGCTAGGTGCCCCAAACCTTCAGCTGATCGTGCTTTTAGTGCCCTGTTTTGCTGTCCAGAACGCACAGAAATAGTTCACTGAACTTTATGGAACTTCTTATGCAAAAAAGAATGTGGAAAATGATAGAAAGTTTTGGAGCGGGCATATTTTCCTTCTTTGTGCAGTGCTAGACACAATGTGCAAGTTCCCACTGATGACGCTCTTAAGTGCTATAAAAAGTAATAAACTTTATTGTATATCTGAGCTGTTAATGTAATTGGCAGTTGGGACAAAGCAGTTTGCACATGGTGTCTATCCTCCTGGTAATATCTAGTATTTATATTTTTAGATATATTTAAACCTATCTTTTAATTTCACTGGAATGCCCCAAAATCCAACACATATGTTCTGTCTAAGAAATAGTTTGGTTTTATTCAAGAGCCATCAAATTGTCCTGAGTGCAAAGCTACTCTCTTGGTCCTCAATACTTTAAAATAATTATTACCTTACTGTTTTCTAGGAAGCTTGCTTTATTTGATGAATGGAATTCATTGGCGGTTTATGTATCTATGGATAACACAGTTGTCATTGAAGACATCAGTAAGTGAAACGTCTGTCTTCTAATTAAGAGTTTCTGATTTGTTACATTTTTTTCCCATGTCTGAACATGAACAAAATACTTTTAGGCCAGCATGGATTAGCTTTACTTGTTCCAAGGGCAAGAAAAGAGAAAAAAAAAAAAAAGCAATATCAAGTTTTGTCCAAAAGTAAAGCTAGAACAAAGTGGTGTGGGCATT